AAATCGTCGTCTACGATTGTGATGGGCCCGGACTGTACGACGTTGGCAACGACGTGACTGGCAGAGGGTTGTCTTCACTGACGAAAGTCGATTCTGTATGTTTAGGGCTGATGGAAGACAACGTGTTTACCGCCGAAGGGGTGAACGAACGGCGGCGTGTTGCGTGCAGGAGGTCTTACCATATGGTGGAGGGAGTGTCATGGTGTGGGGAGGGATCTGTGGGCAGGAGAGGACACCGCTGGTCATCGTTGACGGAAACTTGACAGCCCAGCATTACATGGATAATATTCTTCGTCCAGTTGTCCTACCATTTCTCCAAAAGCAGCCACGTGGGGTCATTTATCAGCATGACAACGCTAGAGCCCGTACAGACAGAATTGTCACTAACTTCCTCGCAGCCAACAACGTCAACGTCCTGCCGTGGCCTGCACGCTCACCCGACATGTCCACCATAGTACACCTCTGGGACTTGATTGATCGTCGTGTTCGACAACGACCACACTCTCCAGCCAACCGGCAGCTGATCTTGGCCCTCCAAGAAGAATGGCGTCAAATCCCACTTGACCTCATCAGACGACTGACTTTTTCTGTGCGTTGAAGAGTTTTTGCGTGTATTGGCATTTTGTGGTCACACAGGCTACTAATGTCTTGTTATTGAACGTGAGTGATTGTTTATGTACTCCGCCTATTGACCATGATTCTGAACGCTCGAGTTTTGTACCACACCAAGCTTTGGGGGTCTCTGATGTCATTGTCGGTCGCGGTATGATTGTCATTTTCAGTGTTGATTATGTTGATCTATTGATCTTCTCAATACACTTTACTTCATGCATGTATGTTTTGTTGTTTTTGAGCAGGAGTGATTTCAAACTCTGGTAAAGTTTCTTTTGGACGTCAGTTTATATGCTGTATATTCATCAATACTTTGATTCTGTAGCACCGAATATCGTTACCCTGGTTACTACTGTATGACGGCTCGCTCCTTGTTTTCAGACGTGACATTCAAACTAATAATTCAGATGTGACAGTTGTCACAATCTCACCGGTTATCGAGAAGTCTCACCCTAGTTGAGAGTGATAGGCTGAGATTTGAGGCAATTCTTTTCATAGACGCTATCGGTTGCCACGGGGATTTTCAACATTGTCGATTTTCTTTGACGTGCCGACTGGTAATTTGTTTGTTGTTATACCATGTGCTTCTTTGGTGAACCGACTACTGTCTGTATGGAATATAACCCCGATGGTGATATATTTATAAGTCTGATGCAATTTAGTATTGACATGACATACAGTTAAATGTGTAAACGTCAATACAATGCCTATTTACAATTTATGCGGATCATTGACATGATGACCTATTAAACTAACGTTTATGTATTACACTGTATATTGTGAGTTTACCATACAACTCGAACGTGTCATATGGTGACATGGTGACCTATAAAACCAACGTTCATATATCACAATGTATATTGTGAGTTTACCATTGTACTCGAACGTGTGATACGGTGACATGGTGACGTATAAAATCAACGTTTATGTATTACAGTGTATATTGTGGGTTTACCATCGTACTCGAATGTGCAGGTGAACATTGTGTCTACAGGCTACTTTTCGGTATGTGACGTCATTTCCCTTCAATAGTCTTTCTTACTCGGTATAGCTCTGCATGATCAACTACGGGATGGATGTACATTTAAGAAACATAAAATCTTACACAATATCATCCATTCACAGCCTGCAGATATCTCTCGATCTAAACTGATGGCTGAAACCGCACTGTCACAACGGGTTCTGATTAAGTGTAGTGGACCCTCATGGTGGATCTGTTTACGCATTTACTGTCAGGAAGTCACTCAGGTGGGTAATGGTCACTGTAATGGTGGTAGTGTCAGCCGTGGGAATGCAGAATATGTTCGCCACGAAGTGGCATAATTAAAATCGATATGACTCAAGGCATTTCTTTTATAGCATCGGGAAATACATATTATGATATTTAGGCGTTTTAGGGTTAGTTTTGTCAGGTTCGTTTGTATTTTAACGAAGCACTCATCGATATTCCAGCGGTCTGGATAAGAACATCGATCTACGTGAATAGGATACGATGACATGCATCAATCAAGTCAACGAGCCTGACCACCCCATCCCGTTAGTCGCCTATTACAACACTCATCAAGTCAACGAGCCTGACCACCCCATCCCGTTAGTCGCCTATCACAACACTCATGGCTTGCGGGAGACCAATTCTATACCATGAGAATTCCGTCCGCCCTTCCGACAACATTTTCTTGCTGAATCTATAATTACCGAACAACTTCATATCAAAAGGAGAGGTGCAGTGAAAAGTTTCATTTCAATATTTGGGTTTCTCAAATAATACAGCAATTTTTAATCTTTATTTGGAATATTTTTACTTATTTCAATAAATGAATTTTCAGAGAAAATATTGTCTTTTGCATGTTTTGAACTTAGAAATATTTGTATACTTCCGACCTGAAGGAAAATCCGGCGATAAACCGGATTTAAAATTCAAGTGTACTGTACCCGGCAAAGCTTGCCGCTGATGCACTACTGCATCTTTGAATCATGCCATTGCTATGTTATATCATTGTGCTTTGTAAGAAAAGTCAGCTGACACGTTAAGACATCAATATATCTCCAATATTTAGATTGTTCTCCAGCAGATGTTGGAGTAGAGGTCGGGGGTGTAAGTGAGCCCTGCTCACTTTGTGCCTTGCTTTGTTTTTCCAACCCTATTTCCCTTACATATAAACACTGTCGTATGTTGCTATGTTAGTAGCATCAACCAAACATGGAAGACAGGTATCTGTGAATAGGCATGTTTCCCAGGTATAGAAGAAAACCTACAGTAATGTGAAATAACCTTTCATGAAAATATTATTTTTACTTCGACTCTGGTGTGACATTGAGCATGGTTTGCTTTATTTTATAGTTTTGCATTTGTTTATCTGATAATGTTTAAGAGTGACTTGTCAAAAGCGTAAATACATCAACATATTTGTATTAAACTTATTGTGGGGGTTAATTTCCAACACGCTATACACAAGGCATTATAAGTAGTCTGTACACAAGGATGTTTCCTTCACATGATAATGTGTAGAGTGGCCATATTCAAATTGGTTGTAAGCAAGCTGATGCAAAATATTAGACTAATATTACACGGTAACGTGGATCTATGTCATTAACAAGTGTGAACAAAATAAACAAATGTTACAGGCATAAACCATGGTTAGGGAGCATTCGCTAAATTTATGATAATAACTGTTCCCCCTAAACGATATTCCCCAAATAAATAATAATGATTAAATATTTTTTTTGAATGCTTATTGGTTCGGTAAATTTTACAACATTTCATGATTATTCACATTGTCAGGAATTACATCTTTATCCGATATCAACTGACGTAAGTGTTCGGGGTATTTCGAAAAAAAGATCAAACGACCAAAAGAACATATCTCCATCTAATTAATCACCGAAACTGGAGCAGAAGCTGATAGCACTCCCAAAGAAAGTTCTCAAGAAAATTTACCACCTCTGTGCCTTTCACGTGAAACCGATATAGGGCATGCATGATCCTTACATACATTATCACTCTCATTTACAAAATATGATAATTTGATATGATAGAGTAAAATATAGGTGATGAATACTGACTTTACTTAATTTAGCTGCAGTCACATCTAGGTCGGTATAAGTACAGTCACATCTGATCGGTGTAAGTACAGTCACATCTAGGTCAGTGTTAGTACAGTCACATCTGGGTCGATGTTAGTACAGTCACATCTAGGTCAGTGTTAGTACAGTCACATCTAGGTCGGTGTTAGTACAGTCACACCTAGGTCGGTGTTAGTACAGTCACATCTAGGTCGGTGTTAGTACAGTCACGTCTAGGTCGGTGTTAGTACAGTCACATCTAGGTCGGTGTAAGTACAGTCAGATCTAGGTCGGTGTTAGTACAGTCACATCTAGGTCGGTGTTATTACAGTCACAACTAGGTCGGTGTTATTACAGTCACATATTGGTCGATGTTAGTACAGTCACATCTAGGTTGGTGTAAGTACAGTCAGATCTAGGTCGGTGTTAGTACAGTCACGTCTAGGTCGGTGTTAGTTCAGTCACGTCTAGATCGGTGTTAGTACAGTCATATCTTTGTCGGTGTAAGTACAGTCACATCTAGGTCAGTGTTAGTACAGTCACATCTAGGTCGGTGTTAGTACAGTCACGTCTAGGTCGGTGTTAGTTCAGTCACATCTGGATCGGTGTTAGTACAGTCACATCTAGGTCGGTGTTTGTACATTCACATCTAGGTCAGTGTTAGTACAGTCACATTTAGCTCGGTGTTAGAACAGTCATATCTAGGTCGGTGTTAGTACAGTCACATCTAGGTCAGTGTTAGTACAGTCACATCTAGGTCGGTGTTAGTACAGTCACGTCTAGGCCGGTGTTAGTTCAGTCACGTCTAGATCGGTGTTAGTACAGTCATATCTAGGTCGGTGTTAGTACAGTCACATCTAGGTCAGTGTTAGTACAGTCACATCTAGGTCGGTGTTAGTACAGTCACGTCTAAATCGGTGTTAGTTCAGTCACATCTAGATCGGTGTTAGTACAGTCACATCTAGGTCGGTGTTTGTACATTCACATCTAGGTCAGTGTTAGTACAGTCACATCTAGCTCGGTGTTAGTACAGTCACGTCTAAATCGGTGTTAGTTCAGTCACGTCTAGATCGGTGTTAGTACAGTCACATCTAGGTCGGTGTTAGTACAGTCACATCTAGGCCGGTGTTAGTACAGTCACGTCGGTGTGGTATCCTGTAGCAGACACGTTAATATGTAGTAATTGGTGATTTAATACAGCAGGTTCCAGCCTTATTCTTTGACATGTTGAATCATACATTTTGGTTGGACTTGGGAGGAATCAATTATGCAAAAGAATCCCAGCTAAATTTGACAACTATTTATTTTTATTTGCAGGTGGTACAAACATGGATGCCCCCCGAGCCGTGCTTGTACTCTACTAAACTCTGCTGATAGTCAGTGAGTACTGAAATGATACAAGGCAGACAGACAGACAGACAGACACACACACACACACACACAAACGCACACACAAACGCACACACACACACACACACACGCACGCACGCACACACGCCACTCTACTTTGTACTAGTCGGAACTAATGCCAGTGTCATAGATGCCATATAACAATTTACCATGGTCACATCAATCAGACACTGGCTCTGAGTCGACCAGACCTTGTTTTATCATCTTAATGCTAAGCATCAGACAGAGTAACAACATGAACCACAGACTGACACCTCTGTCCATATAAATACAACACAACCCTGTCTATAAAGACCACCACATAATGACGGGACCTTCGAAGAATCCTCTACTGATGCTAGTAAATTACATGCTTTTAAAAAATAATATATCATTTTCTTGACAAAAAGTGAATACACAACTTACCTTAACTATTACTTCTATCAGTTGGCTGTCAGGTGAGACCGATACTTACCTTTGGACAGTCTTTCCGACTTCTGTCGTCTGCTTTTTTTCCTCCCACATTAAGCTGACAAGCCGCGATATAATTGGAATACTGTTAAAAATTGGCGTTTAACCCAACTCACTAACTCTAAATAATGGAAACACCTCCTTAGACATGTTCATGCCTGATTAGATTTTCCAAGCTTTCCGTTGATAACAAATACATCCTGATATACCTCCGGTAGACCTTTTCCAAATGTTGACTCCAGACACCACTGCTCTATTGTATACACTACATAACTATAACGTGATTGTCAATGTGGTCTGACCCTTTTATTTCTATTTCAACTTTTCACTACTTACAGCACACGGACAAGACAGCTGCAATTGGGGAAAATATGGAGAAAACTGCAGCAAAGACTGCCCTTCCAACTGTATCGCCAATCCAGGGAGAAACATCAGGCACTGCCACAAGGAGACAGGGAGGTGCTCGGAGGGGTGTGTGCCGGGGTGGTTTGAGGATCTCTGTGATCAAGCCTGCAGCAAGAACTGCTTGAGAAACATCTGTAATCGCCAAAATGGCATCTGCACGTTTGGCTGTAGTGGAAGCTACACAGGCGACTATTGTAACATTTTACAAGGTTTGATTTTCAATTGATTCAGTTCCGTTAAGATTAATGTTGATCTAGATTGACTTTATTTGCGTCGTAATATTGTTCTGATCCAATAAGCAAAATATTTCATTCAGTATGTTGAAGTAGTGTATTTAATAAATCGTATTTACCCTGCACTGTGGCCCGAGATTCTCAACCAAATCAAATTATACTGGACATAAAGATAAAGATAGGATAGGATGCCTAGTTGTGTTTGTTGCTGGCACATGGCATATTTCAACTATAGATTCCTGAGTTGTTTATTGCCTTTCGTTTTTGCCTCAGTATGTTTTCTGATAAATGCATGATATGCGACCCACCAGGAGAAGGGACCTTATCGGAGCTTTGGTACAAATGTGCGTTGACGTCATAAAGACGTTTGACGTCAACGTTCTTGAGTGAGGTCTGACTGTATCAAAATATCTTACTCTCGATAGTTCGTAATGTAATAGAAAATATTATTTCAAAACATTTCAGCATACAGCTCTACTTAAATTCACCAGACACTATGTCTTAAAACTGCAATTATTACATAAACAGTTATACATCGGAAAATTAGTTCAAATGTTTGATGTCATGTTTCTCTGTCATAAATATGAATTGAAGCTTGTGAATTGTTTTTGCAAACATAACTGTAGTTTTAAACTATAATGGAAAGTGGAAATGTGATCTTATAGCTACACATTTTCAGATATTGGAAAAAAAGTGTCATGTCTGTTGTCGTCCCTGTGAGACAGCAATACTACACTTATGATGTAGCATATTAAATCACGCACACACACACACACACACACACACACACACACACACACACACACACACACACACGTGATTTTGAAAACACACACATATTTACATCTGAACTATTGTTCGTTCCATTGTAGATGTGTATTATTATTCTTGTTTTTGAAAACATGTTTTAGTAGACGCATCTACGAAAGGTTCTATTGACTCAACCACGAACGGTCCTATCGACACTACCACAACACAACCCACGAATCTTGCTGCGATTCTTGTCCCTGTGATCATCGTCAGTATCATCGTTGCTATCATCCTTGCTGTGGTGGTGCTCAGACTGTAAGTCTATGTTTTACTCAACACGTGTATGATTCAGAGTGTCATTGTTGAATGAAATGAAACAATACTCATCCTTGCTGACATTTTCCACAGTATCAATAGTAGGGTGTAAGGCGTCGTGCATGTTCCATTTATTGGGAAAAAAATAAGTATACATATTGTGACCCCCCAGGGAAAAGATAAGGAAGGATATAATTTTGCTGTGACGTCAAAAGGAAAGACGTTTGACGTCAACTTACTTCCGTACGTCAAGTCTCAGGACTATACAGACATATTTTATTTTTCTCTTGTTCGTTAGTGATGTAATAAAAACATTATTTCAAAACATTTCAGAATTCGAATAATCAGTCACTATATCTAAATTATAGCAACAGTTAGTATATCAAGACTGAAAATGAGATTTTGCAGAAAATCAGTTCAAATGTTTGATGCTATGTGTCTCTACAATACAAATGTTTGATGCCATGTATCTCTGCAATACATATGTTTGATGCCATGTATCTCTGCAATACAAATGTTTGATGTCATGTATCTCTGCAATACAAATGTTTGATGCTATGTGTCTCTACAATACAAATGTTTGATGCTATGTGTCTCTACAATACAAATGTTTGATGCCATGTATCTCTGCAATGCATATGAATTGTTGCTTGACTTGTAAATTGTATCTAGATGATCCTAAAAACCTGTAGTTTTAAAAGAATCAGATGTCAAATGTCATATTTCACTCATAACGGACTTATTTCATGGTGGGTCACACCATATCACTATTACAAGTGCAAAATTTAATGTGAAATAATACCAAATATTACTTGCAATACTTGGTTTTTGCTTCTGATGTTTTGCAGAAGGAGGAACAAGTCGAGAAGAAAACGGAAAGAGGGGCGTTCAGATAACAGGTAAATATAAAGTCTTGATTATCCGCTGAAACATATTCCACTGGCCATAAAAGACAAACCAGCAGTGAACAGTAAATGAATCATGAATAAATACATTGTTGTACACGTTTCTCCCTTGAAGAAATGAGAGGTACAGGATTAATAAATCACCATCTCGTAGCTAAGTGTTGTTATGATCTATGCTGTACGTATATCTGTCTCTAATGATGTGTACCTGAGTGTGACATACTTTGTAAGACATATGTATTCTTTTCTTTGCAGGGCTTATGAAAATCGTAAGTATAGCGCATTCAAAAGTAATGAAGATATAGGTGGCCAGGTATCCACATGTCCACGTATAATATATAAGGCCCTTGCTGCTGATTGTATTGTTCCCTAAACACTATTCCTGAATCATTTATTTCCCTGAGGTACTGACGATCATTAACATCAACACCAGACCACAATCAGTTTTGAATCAGGGAAAAGACAATACAGAGATGAATATAAAAGGTATATGAATCGAAAACATTTTTTTAGGTAAACGTATATAGCGACCATTGGACATTATATTGAACGCCAACTTTAGAGACTAATCATTCCAGAGCTTATTACTCCGAAAATGAAATAATGAACTTATATGAATAGATCTTTGAAAATAAGTCATGTGTAAGTGTTTAATCCCAAAAAGTTGAAACTTGAAGGCTAACCCAGAAAACGGTACACACAAAACATCTTTTTTTTGTGAAATCAGTAAATAACCCCACAAGAACAATCAATAATCAACAAATTATAAAGTCAATACAATGGGTATCTAAACAGTAAACTGTGTTGGAAGCAGGCAGAATAAAGTCCGTATTTTCTGATATACGTCGCAAGTGAATTAGAAGGAGACATTGAATCGCCCACGAATCGTCCTCATACAGGTACACCTGACCTTCCAGAAACGATTCGCTCCGAGAAGTCACTTCCGGATGTAACGACATATGTAAACAGAGCTCCTTACTCACTCGTTGTACCGGGAGGAAATGAGGGTGTCATTCGCGGGGACGGAGTTTTGACTCAGTATATATACTAAGGGAGGTTACTCTAATTTATCAGCGTTGCATCTAACTGCTAACGCATTACCACTGCAACATAACAGATGGCGCCAGGTTTGCGTTCAAAGGGTAATGTCTTAATATACCGTCTGCACCCGCCACAAACACAATTTACAAGAAAGAGAGGAATTGTTTGTTGCCCAACAGCACTTCTAAAACACCCCGCACGACCCGCACAACCCACCCCCACCAATGCAATGTATCACCAAATGAAAACCATATGCATATCGAGTTCTGAGTATTGACCTAAAGGGTATTACAAACTATTTCTGACTAAAATGTCACTAATTTATGTTGAATGAAGCAATATAGGCAATTATTAGTACTCGCCTCAAGCTAGTTGCTCTCATCGCTGCATTAAGAAGTAAGTGGAATCTGCCAAATTCACCCAATACAATGCTACTCGGTGTATATCGTTGAACATTCTATAACCACTTGCACACATATAAATAAACTTTCTCAAGTTCTTTCATTTTATGGAATGCCCTTAATATAGCATAAGTGAAATCCTAGCGTCAAATAATCTGAAAAGAGTATTTTGAGGATAAGGCTTTTAACAATAAAATTGATGTTTTTTAGTAAGTTGATTAATACCACTCTAGCTTGAACAGCTGTATTGCATAAAGCTTCTGTCCATGACAGCCTGCTGCTAAAAAAAACCCACCTAAATATTTATACCCTTGTGTGACTTCCATAAGGTGTCGATTCGCAAACCATTATTCAGCCGCCCACCTTTCTGACAAAAAACTACAATTTGTCTTTTATAGTGTCTGAAATTGAAGTCGAATCATGTGTAAAGAGCAAAAGTAAAACTTATTTGATATCACGATGTAAATGTACCCCAGAAAACTGCTCACGTTCCATTACAAAATAATCATAATGTTGTCAAAACCTTTGGCTTATTTGTTTGGAATGTTTCATTTGATAGTAAAATAATATATAACGTAAAATATGTTCCAGTGCGCTTGATTGAGCAGCAGCCTGAAGCAGGTCAGTGCAGTGAGTACACTCTGATCTTTTTAGTATTGTTGCAATTATTTAATGAATGTGGAGTACTATAAAGTGACATTGTTGCTCTCTTGTATACGTTGTGTGGGGCAGGCGGGTAGCCTAGTGGTTAGAGCGTTAGAGCGAACGCCCAAGACCCGGGTTTGATTACATACATGGGTACAATGTGTGAAGCCCATTTCTGATGTTCCCCGCCATGATATTGCTGGAATATTGCTAAAGGTGGCGTAAAACCATACTCACTCACTCAATTGTATACGTTGTTATACAATAGACGCAATTGTTTCAGTCTATTCAAATTCTTAGCTTTATGGAACATAGACAAGGTAATCTTCAACACAGACGTTATATTCAAACGAGTAATGCTGCAACCCACAAGCTTCAGATATGCACAGTGAATCCATTGAGTTTATTGTTCTGACAGCATCGCCAAGAGATGAGGATATTCAGGAGATGAGCCATTCAGACGGAGAGAAACTAACAAAAGGTATGAACTGGGTTCCGTCATATCCGGTTTGTTTTTAGCAGTATATATGATACAGATGTGTAGAATCAGGCAATATGTACAATAAAGTGACTTCGATCTTCATTTCAGTCAATCTGTCTAAAATCCAATCTCATGTTGTTTGAATCAGCCGATATACATATTGCCTGATATTTAAAGTCAATAAACAAATTGCTTGATGGTAGATTTTTACTCGTCATACATTCACCATTTTATTATTAGACAAATGTGACCATTCAATTTCTGCGTTAGTCCATTTGGATACATTTCAAGTGAAGACAATTTTCTTTAGGAAATATGTTTTTCTCACGATTCATCATCCCGCAAGGATATATAATTTATATCTGTTTGTTTTACCTAAACAGATCTGCCATACCAGATGAAGGATATCAAAGATCTATTCATTGAAACTGAGAGTTTCAACTTAGTGAAAGAGAAGCTGAAGACGTTTGGCCATGTCACAATAAGTGGTGCTCCAGGATCTGGTAAAACATCCATGGCCCTGATGCTGGGAGCTGAATACAGGAGGCAGGGGTATGAGCTGGTACTGTTTGAGGATGTTGGGACTGTTCAGTTGTCTGATTGCCTAGGTCGGGGCAAGGACGTGTGTGTCATATTCGATGACATATTTCAGAAGGGTGGATCTATGGATGTGCATCGCCTGAGACAGGTTCTCTATGAGCTCCATGGGCACCTGGAACAGTGGAAAACCAAGCTGGAAACAAGCTACCACACTCTCCAGCAAACACGAGGAGTGGACCAGAGGAGGACCGACAATCCAAACATGTATGTTATATTCACCACAGATAGCAACAACCTTGAATGTGCAATGTCAAAACTTGAAGGCCATATATTTTTCCAAAACTCTTCAGTGGTAGACTTGACAAAATCAAATAAAAAATGGAAGAGAAGAAGGCCATATGGTTCAAACACAAAAGTCACTATAAATGTGAAACTGACGTTGATGTGACTACAATTGTTGCATACGAGGAAACTGTTGGTTTCCCTCTGGCATGCAAACTTTTCTCAACTCACGTACCTTTTCAAGAGCTCAAGGAAACGTTTTTTGAAAGGTCTCTGTTTTATCTTCAACGTGATCTTCATAAGGACACAAGTCAACTTGATGACCAGTCCCTGAAACTGTTGCTGAAGTCAATGTGTGACGGTGAAGTGAAAATCAGGCAACTGCAGGCTGAATCTGATGCACACCTGAAACATGTTTTAACTCTTGTCTCCTTATCCCATCCTCTAATACATGATACATGCATGTCTGCGTTATTAAATACTAAGCCAGAGCTTGTCATTCATAACTGCAGCATAAAGTTCATTTGTGAGCATGTACATGATCATCAACACACCACTGCTCATGTAGAACAGAATGCCATGCATTTCTCAGATGCCTACAGTGACACCATTGCTGCCAGGCTGACTGAAGCTGTTGTTGCTGGCACGTTCAGTAGGTACATCATGCATCCCATATGGAAAAGGAAAGACATAGAAGATAAAGTGTACCAAATGCTTAAAGATGTAGGCACTATGTCTTCTGATTCTAAGCACAGCATTCTCCATTATGCCTGTTTCTCTGGGAGCAATGACATCACTGAAAAATTTCTCCCTGATTGTGACATCAATAGACGTGCTGTGAATGGCTGGACGCCAGCTATGTTCGCTGTAACTGGTGGACAGATGGATACTTTGAAACTTCTCGTAAAGCATAAAGCTGATATCACATTACGTGACACCATGAACAATGACCTCTTTCATTTGGCTTGTCAATATGGGAATATTCAAATTGCGGAATGTATGGAAAGGCTGCTGAAACAAAGTACTGCTTGGCATGTCAACAGTCGAGGGATGAATGAATGGACACCGATTATGTGTGCAGTTTGCTCAGGCAAGAATGGTCTCTTAAACTTTCTTCTAAAAAAGAAGACAACTGATTTAACATTACGAGATAGGAACAACAACACTGTTCTTCATCTGGCATGTATCTATGCAAATGAGTCCACTGTTAATTCGTTGTTGCCATTAACAGATAGAGATTGTCATGGGGAAAATGGCATGACACCTATGATGTGTGCACTATTGTCTGGGAGGAGGGACATATTCAACCTTCTCATGTCACACAATGCAGACATCTCTTTGACTGAAGATGACAACAACAGCCTCCTTCATTTGGCCTGCCTCCGTGCGGGTATACCCAACAGTCTAGTGTCAAAGATTGACTATGATGTTCCAGGAAGTCATGGTTGGACACCTGCAATGAAGGCAGCTGTTAATGGAGCAGCGCATGCATTTGGCCTGCTTGTGGAAGCAAAGGCTGATCTTTACCCGAAAGATGACAACAACAACACTATCCTTCATCTCGCATGCCATAGTGGACATGCCTCAATTGTGAAATATGTACGGTCAATGTTTGAGATCAATGCTTGTGGAAATAATGGATGGACGCCAGTAATGTACGCTGCTGCCAATGGAGAGAAGAACGTGTTTGACCTGCTTGTGTCAAAGGGGGCTGATGTATCCCTGAAGGATGACTACAACAATTATGTATGTCATTTAGCATGTGCAGGTGGAAATATGTCCATCGTGGAATATTTACTTCCAATGTATGAGATCAACAGTCGGGGTGACCACGGCAGAACTGCAATAATGAATGCTGCCTGGACAGGCCAAAGTCTTGTTTTCAAATTGCTTGTGTCACAGGACGTTGATCTTAAACTGACTGACGACAACAAGGACACTGTGCTTCATTTTGCCTGCGAGGGAGGAGACGCAGCCATTGTGGAACATCTTCTGACCAGAGTTGACCTCAATACTCGAGGAAGGAATGGCTGGACCCCGGTCATGGTCGCAGCTCGGTTTGGAAAATTAGATCCTTTCAACTTGCTTGTTTCAGAGCAGGTAGATCTCAGATTGACTGACGACAACAATAACAACTTGCTTCATCTTGCATGTCAGGGAGGAAACAGATTGATCATAGAGCATCTGCTTCCACAGTTTGACATTAACTGTCGGGGACAGGATGGAAGGACGGCTGTGATGTATGCAGCTGTCAATGGACTGAGAAGTGTATTTGACCTGCTTGTCTTAAATAAGGCTGATGTTTCACTAAAGGATGACTACAACAACTCTGTATTTCATTTAGCATGTCTAGGTGGAAATAGTTCAATTGTGGAACAACTATTTCCAAATGTTGACATCAACAGTGTGGATGATGATGGGAGAACAGCAATCATGAAGGCAGCTTTTGCTGGAAACAAGAGTGTTTTTAATTTTCTGATCTCAAAGAACTCTGATCTGAAAGTCATAGATGACTACAGAGACAATGTGCTACATTTCGCATGTAAGGAAGGAGACAAGACTATTGTTGAGTGCATTCTTCAAAGGCTTGACATCAATACCCGGGGAAGGAATGGTTGCACACCAGTGATGATTGCAGCGCGGTTTGGAAACAGACATATTTTCAACTTGCTTGTTTCAAAGGAAGTGGATCTCACTATGTCTGATGACCACAGAAACAACATGCTTCACCTTGCATGTCAGAACGGAAACAGGTTGATCATAGAGCATCTGCTTCCACAGTGTGACCTCAACAGTCGGGGACAGGAAGGAAGGACGGCTGTGATGTATGCAGCTGTCAATGGACTGAGGAGTGTGTTTGACCTGCTTGTCTCAAATGGCGCTGATATGTCCCTGAAAGATAATTACAATAGATCTGTATTTCATTTAGCTTGTCTGGGTGGAAATAATTATATTGTAGAATATCTCCTGCAACGGAGTGATATCAATTGTCTGGGATACAACAAGAGATCTGCACTAATGGAAGCAGCTTTGGCAGCCAAAAGAAATGTATTTGACCTTCTTGTGTCAAAGAAAGCTGACCTGAATCTGCTTGATGACTACAATGATAATGTTCTGCATTTTGCATGTCAAGGAGGGAACACAGCCATTGTAGAATATCTTCGGGAGATATTGGACATTAATGAGAAGGGACAGAATGGTTTGACACCAGTAATGCATGCAGCTAGGGCTGGTCAGAAGAATGTGTTTAATCTGCTTGTATCACAACAAGAGGAGTTGAATCTGCTTGATAACACCAGGAACAATTTACTGCATCTTGCTTGTCAGGGGGGAAACCATTTCATCATAAAGTACCTCTTGCCACTGTTTGACGTTAATGGTCCTGGAGAAGACGGGTGGACGCCAATCATGATGGCAGCTCTCAGTGGAAAGATGGATGTTTATGATCTGCTTGCATCAAACGGGGGTATTCCATCCCTGACTACTCCACAAAATGATAATGTTCTTCATGCAGCTTGTCAAGGTGGTCACAAGGCCATAGTAAGGAAGGTCACTGACATCTTTGAGATCAACACCAGGGGAAGGAATGGTTCCACACCTCTGATGAGGGCCGTTATTGGAGGCCACATTAGTGTGCTGAAGTTCCTGATGTCTCGTTCAGCTGACCATACTATGGTGGACAATGATGGGGTCACCCTTCTACATCTTGCTTGTAAATATGGTCACCTCGATGTTGTGAAGCACATCTCAGACAGGTTTGATATAAACACTAAAGACAAGGCTGGTTTAACATGCATCATGACATCAGTATTGCATGGTAAAGTTGCAGTATTTGAATACTTGCAAAGTAGAGGCGCAGATTTGTCACTAGTTGACAACGAAGGGGTTGACGCCTTAGATCTTGCCCTTAAAGTAGACTGCAAGCAAATCATAGAAAAACTGTCATTAGGTAAGAGAGTCAGAGAGGAACGTCACACCATGGAATGCCCTTGTGATATCAGGAATGAGATCAGATGTGTATCATCTGAATAAAAACCAGCAAGTTTCCCTTAGGCTCTAATGAGGCCACTGAAGATGAGGCTATCGACAGCTTTGACATCAAAGCGAGAGGAAGGAATGGCGAGACTCCTCTGACGAGAACAGGCCGTTGAGGTCACATTGCCGTGTACAGATACTTGGTGTCCTGCAGTGCTGACCGTACTCTTGTCGACAAAGGCTGACATAATCTTCTACATCTTGCTCGTCATCACAGACAACTTGTAATGTTGAAATATGCCATTGATTATTTTGATATCAACTCAAAGGACAATATTGGTGTGACACCTGCATTGACGGCAGCAATACACCAGCAAGCTGCAGTACCCAAATACAATAAAGGCACATATCTGACTTAAGTTGACAACACGGGAGACGATGCCTTTACTCTCGTGCTTAAGTTCGGGAGCAGACAAATCATAAAACAACAAGAAGGCAAACAAGACAAGACAGTGACTCCATGGAATGAACTTATGACGCGCTTCGTAAGAATGGAAAGTCGCATCATGTGTGTACATGGACCCACTCTACACTGAACACTATAACAAGGTTTATATTGTACAGTAAATGTTGTACCAGTATGGACTGACACACTAATATATACATATGTTCAACAGGTTTCCGTCCAGTAGCAAAATGGAAGGTTGGTTTGGTGTTGTTTAATGCTGCACTCAGCAATATTCCAGCAATATGACGGCAGTATGTAAATAATCGAGCATGGACAATCCAGTGATTGACATCATGAGCACCGACCCACGCAATTGAGATCGATGACAGGCATCAACCAAGTTAGCGTGCCTGACCACCCGATCCCGTTAGTCGCCTTTTCGACAAGCATAATCGCCTTTTACGGCAAGCATGGGTTGCTGAAGATCTATTCTAACCCAGATCATCACAGGTACAATATGGAAGGATTGGCCTGGGCTATTGCAGCCAATAGTTAACAGCAGAGATTAAGTTCTGCACAATTTCATTTTTGTTAGATTTGGCTGCAAAATGATGTAATAATCAGATTGGAAATATGTGTTTTTGTCAAACGGTATTTGCGTCTACTGATGTCTTTAGTATTACCATCTAAAGAACATACATTCAAGGGGACATTTTATACAGATGATGTTTTGTCATTTCTATTCATATAGAAAGATGTGATATTCTTGCAGCAATTTTACCAACTTTGAACACATATATTACTACTACAAGAGATTGTGGAGAGACCCTACATGGTTAGAAATGTAGAATCATGCTATTTACCTTAAATGTTTGACGGTGTTGAAACTCCTATTGTTAAAACAATTGGACTGTAATGTTGTTCTGTTTTGCTTTAGGCGAGTATTTGTTTCTGCAGAACATATGTTTCTGTAAACAGCAGCACCTCTGGAAAGCCGCAATGACTAAGGTTGTAGACTTGCTATATAATCGACACCAGACAAAAATCAATTTAAAACAACATTGACAAGGATGTGCTCTTTCAAGATAAACACTCACTGATTAAATGTAGTTTATTGCTTAATATTTATCAATGATTATTGTTTGCAGTAGATCCATGTTGTGGTTATAAGGACCTCACACACTTCAAAAGACATTTCCCAAAACCTCAGGCGATGTCAATTTCAATGATATTTCTAACAAACATTTGCTGCTTTCTAAAATTTACTTTTCGACGGTTGGTGAAACACACATGAAAACAGAAAGAGGCAACTATGAAACAATGTTGGTTAATTGACAATATGTGTATGCAAGTTGACAAATATTCTACAATATCCACACATGATCACCCCACCTCGAATATATCATTAGCTTTGATTTGATTGTATCATCCAGAAGAATAACTACCGTGCTTATGCGTGTGCATATTTCCATGTAGCATTAAACAATTGTAATATTCATACAAGATATGTCACATAGAAGCCGGACAACATATACAGTTTAACATTATATGTTTCTATATAAAAACGTAAACACATAGTTGCACAGGAAGCATCTCGTGTTTTTAAGCCCTGTGTCTGCAAATTTCCTGAGAATAGTGACAAAATAGAAAAACAAATGTTACTCATCATACCTCATTTTCATTGTACATGTGCGGTCATTTTCTTGTGGCTATCATGAGCATGCAGTTTTATCCAATTATGCATTTTATGAGATGAAGATGCCTGGCTATCATGAGCAAGCAGTATTATTCAAGTATGTATTTATGAGATGAAGATGCTTGAATATATGTTGCAATCTTCATAGTTTGCAACATTTCAGGAAGTCGTACAGACACATTCCACATGGCACATTATAGGGTGCTGCCGGATAATAGGACATGCTTAAAACCATGATTTCAAGCAGAAACCATGGTTCAGTCCAATATTGATATCCTAGATTTTTCAGATATTCAATAAAATCGCCTTTGAAGTGCAAAGCAAGAAAACTGAATGTGAATTATCATCAGAAATATACAATATCAAGACACAAAAAGTTCTTAAATAAATTGTTTACCATTGTGATGATTAACTGAAGTCTTAGCTAACACTGTTAGTTATCTATCAACCGCTTCGATAACCGCAAGAGTATCTCCAATACGAGCTGTGATTAGTTACTTTTCTTATTACCTTGGATAAATTCCGACTTGTAATGGTATCTCAAATGACAGTTCATTGCATTATTTCATGTACAATGTTCTTATGTTATAATAAACAACGTGAACACTTGACACAGTGTTTTTTTTTATTAAGTCTTGTGTTTTGTGCACTGTAGTATCTTCTGTGAAGGAAGGTTGCTGCAGATACGGATACGGACAGCTCACTTTGGGGAGTCCAACTTGTCTACCCTACAAATAACTTCCTGGTTGGACACGGTTTGCAGCCTTCTCTTCCATGTTATTAAATGTTCACCTGAGACCATCCCCTATATCTCCAGGGCCAGTAGTTCGGTGAATCTACTTTAACACCTGGATCCATTCCCGTGGTTCTTGCGATAACCTGCTCTTTATTTTCATTAAAATTGCATTGATGAATCAACTCGACATAAGGGAAAGGGAACGGGTAAGGGCGTAACTCCCATTACCTAGAAGCAAAAGCCACCACCAGTTTTACTGGACAGGAAGACATCCTTATCATCAGGGATGTCATTTGCTTTTCAATGTTGAGTTTCTCACCAATTAATGGGACTGGCCAACCAAACACTGAGACTGGTTTTCAACTCGCATTCTGATTGGTACGTTAAATCTTGTAGCCCAGCCAATCGACTTGCCAACTTGAAATCAAAGGCAGCTATTCTGAGATTGTGAAAACTTCAGGAATGGATCCGGGGGTAAGTGCAGATTTACCGAAATGCCAGTCATGGAGATACAGAGCATGACCTGATGCCTGCCACACCTATTAAAACGAAACACCATGGCTTCAAAACAAGAGTCATTAGAAGATGACAAATTCCCCCGGCCCCAAAAATTCGAAAGAACCAATCATCTGACTGTTACTGTGAGTCCAAACTGATGACAGAATGTCTATCTAATCTATCTTTCCGTGTCCAAGATTAGTTATTTAGCTATCAAATCAATACCAATTATATCAAAGTTGAAGCCATGGAAACAGACAACATATATATTTTAAAATCCCTACCAGCTACCAAATCAATACCATAAAATTTGGATTCGGATCTTTGTATTTCTACGTCAGATACACACCACTATGAACAGAGTCAAAATCAAACTTGTTGCCATGGAAACAGACATTCCAAAACCCCTACCAGTCTTCTGGGTCCTTGTGTGTGCACAATTTCAAGAAAGCGTGCTTATTGGTTTAGAGATATGGTCCGGATAAACACACAACTATGAATACAGCCAAAGTCAATCTTTTTGCCATGGGAACGGAAAACAGACATATAAACGCTAAACACCACTAAGTAGCATAAGGCACCATGTGACAACCTGGTCTTTGTGTGTGCAAAGAATAGGGGCGGCCGGGTAGCCTAGTGGTTAAAGCGTTCGCTCGTCACGCCGAAGACCCAGGTTCAATTCCCGACATGGGTACAATGTGTGAAGCCCATTTCTGGTGTTCCCCGCCGTGATGTTGCTGGAATATTGCTAAAAGCGGCGTAAAACCATACTCACTCACTCATGAAATAATACCTATTAGCATTAGAAATATAGTACGCGTGATATAACTGGAATAATGTTAAAAGCAGCGTTAAACCCAACTTACTCACTCACTAGAGTTATGGTCCGGACACTATGAACATAATCAAGGGAAACAGGAAAACGTTTTTAAATTCCAAAATAGAGCAATGCACCACTTCAGCCCATGATTGAGATTGAATGAAACCATGTACCAAACTTGGTGGAAGATTGTTAAATAGTGTTTTAGTTCTGCATAGCCCAGTAATCTAAGTAGCTGAAATTCGCTGTGTCCTGAGTTTTGTCCCTTGGGCATGCCAGAATAGTGAGTGAGTGCGTGGGTGAATTGGGTTTAACGCCGCTTTTAACATTGTTCCAGTTATATTGCTGCGTGTCAGCTTAATGTGGGAGGAGAGCCCGAATTGATGCAGGTCTCAGACGTTTACCACTTCGGTGAAACCCACGAGAACGGGTATGGTGCTGACAAACCTAGAAACATAATCAGGGTGAACTGGGATTCGAACCTAAAATCTTTGGATCATGGCGCGTCCCTAGAGATAATGAGAATTGACATTAATTCACTCAGTGAAGGGACAGTGGAAGGGACCTAGAAGCTCGATCAGAAGACCAGGCAAGGAGAAGTAGGTGAAACAACATTGTTATATACAGTATTTAAGAGAAACGAGATCACGAACTACACGGAAAGCAAAGACAAGGCACTCGAAGTCCTTAACATTGCTAGACTACATAAAAGTCTACAATCACTAGTTGCAAGAGACTTCGAAGGGCACAACTGTACCCCTCGTGGCCCACACAGGAACGTTGACACTTGTTATGAACATCAACGACTATCTGCAACTGGATCAGGGCGACTGGCCATATCCAACACTCGCCCGTCCGTCAGGGGACATACCAGATAGGAATGGGGCCAGGGGCGTGATAGAGACAGCACCCGACATTATATGACTCTTCATGATGCCATAGAAACAGACACGTGTGAAAATCTGAGGACTTGTTTGT